AAATGCCCTTTGCCTCATATAGATATATTTGCATATGTACATATCTTTATCTAGACCTGTATAAATGCCCTTTGCCTCCCAGCTCTTTCCTCTATTTCCCTTGATTTTCCTCCTGTCCCTGAGTGGGATATTTTCAACACATCTGAGTGAGATCTTTCAGACCCTCAGCCTGGGGTCTGCTCTTTTCCTCCCTGTTTTGTACATGTTGAAAACCTAGTCTTGATCATGCTGAGCCTGTGGAGTCGTTACCAATGAGCGCTACCAGAAGCCTGCAGCACAAAGGTGGGCTTTCATGGCTCTGTCTCCTGCCACCCATTCTTTTGGAAAGATAAAGTGGCATTTAAAATCAGAAAACCATTTTAGGAATGAATAACCAAAAACAGGCTCTGAGTTGGCAGTGCCGGAGAGAATGGTCTCCTGGACTGATCCTGAGACTGCCTAAACGTGTTTCTCGGTGAACAGTTTCAGCATTCCAGAGCAGCTTCACATCCCAGTTGCTGTGCAATGAATGGACTGCATGTTGTCCTTCTTCCTAGCCACGTTTCACACATCCCACCGGGCAGAGGACTCCCTGTATGGCTCAGATAATGAGTACTGGCACACTTCTGTCATTCCTGGTCACTCTGATAAGCTTTCATTGTTATTGTCCATCCGGCCAGTGATGCAGAACGAACACGATAGGTGTGGTGAAAATGGTTATAAGCGGGTATGAGACGTCTGTGGTAAAGTCAATTGCCATCATCGCGGCCCTACTGGACAGAGTAGAGGGAACTGCCCCATTGGGTTTCCAAGGCTGTAGATATGGACGTCTCTATAGAAGTGGGCGTAGCAATGCTGTCAGAGAGGAAACTGCTATGTTCTCAGGGTATGCAAAGGAGGCTGACCATGGAAGTCATTGCTAGCTTCTGGGAGACCTGAGCCACGGTGCCTGCCTTAATGGCTCAGCCAGAGAACCACCCCCAACCCTCCTGCCTGTTCAGTCTTCAGTTACAGCCCAACAGCTCTTGAGACTAGGCTGGTGTGAAACTAAACGATCATCGACTCATTGCTTCCTCGTCCACTTACAAAATGGGT